GATTTTTTTATTTTAAGTTATATAATAATAAAAGGTATTTTTTTTTTCTTTTACCTTATTTCACTTATATGTTATATAATTTAAATTTAAAATTTTTTATTTATAATTAAAAAAAATTATTATTAAATTACTTAAATCATTAACGATAAATCATTAACGATAAATCTTAACATTTGTTGTTTCCAAATGTGCTGTATTAACTACAGCTTAATATGTCTTTCATATTTATTTTAAATTTTGAGTAATATTTAAATATTAAAAGGTATTTTTCGTCCAACACTTCTAAGCCTACTAGGCCCTCTTTACAAGACGTGTTTGGGATTATCAAGACCTGGGTTCTAATCCCAGGTCGCATTTTCTCTTCTTCGAAAAAATTTGTCATTGTTTAAAAAAAAAAAAATTAAAAGGCATTTTTCATAAAAATATAATTTATTTTTCAAGAAATAAAAAACCTAAAGGACTACCTACTAACCGCGGCGCTCTCAATTTTTTCGCTACACGTTCTCCTATAAGACCCACACTCACAGACACTATATAACGACTCTCTGTCCCCCTCGCCAAAATATTCCGTCCGAATTTCAATTCAAATGCCGGAATCCAAACGCCTCTACTCCACCGGAGAAGGTCAGTAGTCTACGAAATTCTGCCTCCAACACATCTTCAATCTTCCTAAATCGTAACGAAACAAAACAACAAATTCATGATGAATTCGTGAATGTTCTGTGCCCATTTTTTTTCCTTTTCAGAAAATATCGATGTTTTTCCTGCTTCTGCTCTAAGTCTGAGTGTTTGAAGGTTGGATCGAAGGGGGTGGGAATTAAGAGGACGTATATGCGGATTCTGAGTTGGGTTGGTGGGTTGGTTGTTGGGTGTTTTGTTCTTGACTTGTACAGGAGGCCTCTAGAGATTTTTATGGGGATGTTAATGGCGGATGTTAGTACCTACTTCAAGTTTTTGGCTCAGAGGAGTGAGTTGAGACATGGGTTTTGGGGGTTTGGGCATCTCTCGCTTGTTCTTAATGTTTTGGGGCTGTTTCTGATGTTTTGTTTGGGGTTGGTGGTCTTGCAATTTGGTTTGCCTAACAAGGCTGTTAAGCGGTTTCTGTGGGATATCAGAGGGAAATCAAGGGACTTGAGAAAAGTATTTCCATCAAATCAATGTTTTGGTGAGGTTTCTGATGCAAAGATCAGGTCTTCTCCCTGTGATTCATTGAAATTTTCGGGGAACTCAAAATCATCTTATATGGGGAATAAGGGACAAAGCATGGATCTTGTTAATGGAGGTCGTGAGGGTAGGGGAAAAGATGTTTTCGAACGAGAAAGCAATAAAAAAGGTTGTTTTGTTGAAGATGAAGAATTTGATGTAATGGCATTGAGGAAATTGGTCAAACTTGAAAGGAAGAGAGCAAATGCTGCTTGTGCTGAGCTTGAGAAGGAGAGGATGGCCTCTTCATCGGCAGCTGATGAGACAATGGCAATGATTCTGCGCCTCCAAAGTGAGAAGAGTGCAGCTGACATGGAAGCCAATCAGTACCGGAGAATGGCAGAGGAGAAGCATGAATATGATCAAGAAGTTATCCAATCATTGCAATGGCTCGTGATGAAATATGAGTCAGATGTGAAATTATTGGAAGATCAATTGCAGGCATGCAAGCAGAAGATGGCGCTCCGTGTGGAGGATGATGAATTGGATTTGGCTGATTGAACCAGGCTAGAGGTTTTCAATTCTACAGTGGAAGAGACCACGAGCATTTTCGCAATTGAAGTGAGATGTTTGGTATTGTAAGTGATCTATTATAAACTGAATAATAGTTGAGCTCCTTGGCTTCCATTAAGTACTGGAGATGATTAAAGCTGATGTTGATATGTTGAATTGTAGAATTGAATGAATCAATGAATATATGGTGTTTCATATGTTAAATTGTGGAATTGACTGAACTGATTAATATCTGTTGGATGCATTATAGTTTGGGTGCATATCATAACTTACATAAAGCATTCAGGAGAGAATTAGTAGAAGGATCTATTTGGTACAAGTTTATTTTTTGTTTTTCATTTTTGCATTGGTTACTTCAGGTAGATGAGATCTAGTTTTGCCTACCTAACCTTGATCTGATGGGGGCAATGTACTTGATAAACAGGACTAGTATAGAATACTTTTCTCCATGATTATGTTCAGGTACAAGGGAAATTTAAATATAGGTGTTTAGTCTTGTTGTTTGCAAGATGTAGATATCTGTGTGGGCATATCTGAGCCTCATAATGATTCACTCAACCGTGCAGCACAGATGTGTAATATTATGAGTGAAACTGGTCTCGTTCCTTTTATATACTTGCCACCTATGATATTATCATTGTCAAAGAATCGAATATACGTATTTGCTTATATGTTAATTCTCTACCCACGCGCTATCCAGCATGTTCTTTTTTGAACAAAATGGCAAATAGAATATGTTGCTCCTAAGAGTGCAACTGTGTATAACTGCAAGTAAAAGGATGTATATGGAAAGCTCTATAAGATTGCTGGTTCTTCCCTAGAAGAGCAAATGCAAACGGTCTTTCCATATGCCCCCAATGAAGAACATCAGAGAAATATGGCCTTAAGGGCTTCACATAATTTCTAAAAGCTCTGCTTTGCAAATCTTCTAATCTGCTGTCTGTTATTTGGTACACTGGGGGGCCAATAATTTCTCCTCATGAAGCATCACTTGGTGTCTTACAGGAGCCACTTGAGCCTTTGTTTGAAAAGCTCAGTTGTTCTCCTGCAATTTTTTTGAGGGCAAGTTTTATTCTTGGTGTATATTTTCCTTTTAGGTGCTGCATCTATTTTTTGGTTATCGCTTCAAATCAAATATTGGATAGTTCATGGTTTTCCATTTCATTTAAAAAAAATAAAAATCAGTTCTCATAACCGAGGGAGGCTAGAGTTGCTGCTGTTTTTGGACATCCTATACCAGAAACTGAACTTTGGAACTCCTGTCATCAAATTAAAGAACAGAAACCATGTTCCAGAAACATTCCTACAATCTTATCTCATCTTTTCGGAGTTAGGAAAAATGCTGTTGATAACATCAGCGCAGGTGAAAGCCTAACATGAAAGAAATCTGTCTGTTTGTTTTGTATCTTATGGACTTTCATAGGTAACTTCTACACAATTGAAAGGATAACCATTCGACAGGTATATGAGTAAGTTTATGGCAAGTGCCGTCTTTCTTGCCTTATATGAGAAATAACAGCAGGTGTCCTTTCATTTTCTTGTTGGCACTGCATTTATGACACCTGAAGATTTTAAGACATTGTGTTTATCTTACTCAGCAACATATCAGCATCCTTTCTCCTACTGTCATGCCATGGTGGCAATAAATGGGCAATTCCCACCCAATATAACATGAGGCCCACTTTGTCATAGTCATTGTGGGACACTGGGTAAGAGAGAGGATAACTAGATTTCCCTAAATTGTGTTGTTGAGGGGCCTACATTTAACATTGCATTATTTTCTTTCCACGTCAAGCTTGTTTAGATTTGAGACAGCGATGTATTTTTATATTTTGTTTGGATTGAGAAAATTAGAGGAGAAGGGAAAAAAGTGAAGGAGAGTGAATATTTTTGGTTATTTAAATTAATAATTTTAATAGAGGAGAGAGAGGCGAAGGTCTTTTCTTATTTTTATTTTTGATCTTTTCAATTAAAAGGGATTAAAATGAATTATATTATGAAATTTATTTTTGTTTTTAATTTTTTCAAAAAATAAATATGTAT